TAAAATATCTACGGTCAATAGCAAGTATAGGGCCGCCGCAGCATTCTCACGGTCACATACGGTGGCAGTCACATAGGGTAGCCGCACGCGTATTTTTAATTTGTGGACACCGAAAACCTGCAGCTGCCGTACGGCCTTTGAAGTGATGACGCACGATCGCTTTATGGCGTCTCTGCACATATGGAAATGTTGTATCACCCGCTCAATCTGACTTGCGTGCATAGAACAATTAAGCATTTTTGCATGGAAAAGTGAAGTTCTCTAAAAAGTGCGTTTCTTTCCAGCATTAGGGTGCCCGTGAATCACTTGGGTAACCTTTCAAAAAGTAAAATATAAAAAGATATTATGCAATTTTCTGTACTTTTGTCGGAAAAAATAGAAATCCAGCACAAAATAATATCGTCTCTTTATGCATTGGAGAAGAGCAAAATAGCGAGTTTCAATCACACTTCAGCCGCTCTCGCAAATTTCATTCGTTCCATTCTGGTCAGGCGGCTTTGGGGTGAGCGGCTAATGAATATCGTTAGCTTTCTTCCGGTATTAAACTTATTTTGATTGATTGTTTATTTGTGTCGGAATAAGGAAAACATAAACGCTTGACCAATAACCTTCAGCGTCTGAAGTCCCGGATGCGCATATTTTTGTTTACACAACTGTTTAGCCAGTTCAGTCAAATATACTGTGCAAACGACTAGAGACAGAGTCTAGCATTACCCTTAGCAGCTTTGTTGGATTGCTGGAGCTGTACATACTCGTTATTAGTTTCGGGTTAAATCTATCCTCTTCCCTTTCATTACGTATTTCTTTGTTTCTCCTTCAATCTATCCTCTTCTCTTTTGTCATGTATTTCATTTACTCCTTTAGACTAAGCTCTTCTCTTTCGTACATTTCTTTGTTTTTCATTAATCTATCCTTTTCTCCTTCTTATGTATGTCTTTGTTTTTCCTTAGATAGTGATCTATAATCCTCTTAGCTCTTCCGTTATGTATTTCTATGTTCTTCATAATTATGACTTATCCTCTTCTCTTTCCTTATGTATTTTCTTGTTTTTCATTCTCCATATCCTGTCCACTATCCTTGTTTTCTCTTTTTGTTTCTGTCATCTTCCCTGATCCCTGGGTGTATATGTGCTTGCACATGTACAATAGTACGCTGACGTCTTAGACTCTCTCACCAGGGGCCTGTCTCACTAAACAGTACTTAGGCTGCGTTCATGCTTAAATTTTGAAGGCAGAATGAGCGATCTGAAACGCTCATCGTAAACGCTCATCGTGATCGCAGTTCCACGATGTAGTGTTCATGCTTACTTCTCTGGCTCCCCCAGGCAATTCTCAGTGTGTAGCCTTAATTGGTCTTCCAGCTGGATTCGCAAACCTTCACTGTGCATGCTACGTAGACCCACTAGAGGTCAGTGCGTTGACCCCATTTAAACGCGTTTACAAATTGTAAACGCATCTTTTTGTGAGTTTACGATCGGCGATCGTGATCGCCGTTTTTCGGTGATTCTACAAAAGTGAGCTAAGACGCAACCGTGTTTTAAACTAAACGCGTAACAGATGCCTGATTCTGGCCGTCAAAATCAAGCATGAACGCGCCCTTAGTGTAACGGGACTTAGTGTCGCTGCGACGCGTCATGCACTAAGACGGGTCTTACTGACGTCCTGTTGGTGTTTCAGTTTCACTAAACCGTTCTTTACTCAGTCCTGTGTGCGGCGCATCTTCAACAATGAAACGTCTGGATTTTGATTCTACGAAGCCGAATTTCGTGACCTTCGAACTTGTGCGGAGATAAAAGTAATTTTTTCCTGTAAGTTTTCGTCTGCATCGCGTCGTTTGGGGCGAAAAAGTGAAAGGAGGCTGAATTTTGTCACTTTAAGTGATTCTTTAACATTATTTCGACTACTGTTGGATACAAATGGGGAAGGTATGTTATTAAACTTTTTCTTAAGACAACATAGAGGTAAAATATTGCAAGCGAAATGTATGGATATTGTCGGTAAAATTGCGCTACTGTCGGGAAAATGAGAAAGGGGGATGGAAAATGAGAGGGAAAGGGAAAGAAAAGAAAGGCAAGAAAGTAAGAGAAGAGAAGAAAGAAAGAGAAACAAGAAAAAGAGGAAGAAAGGAAAAGAAAGAAAAGAAAATAAGGAGAAAAGGAAGGAAAAAAAGAAGAGAAAAATGAAAAAAAAGAAGAAAAGAAACGGGGGGGTGTGAAAGAGAGGAGAGAGAGACAGGAATAAGAGCCAGGTGCAGTAGGAGAGAGAAGGAATTCGTCGCTGTTTTCACGAAGTGACGGTAGTGAAAAAAAATTGCATTCACTTTGCGTTACGATTTTCCTCACTACCGTCACTTCGTGAAAACAAGGACGAATTATTGGGTGAAGTCTTGCTCGATCCTCGTGTGCTATATCAATGCAGAAGTTTGAAGCTAGAGATGTATTATGTCGGTCGGCCAGCAAAAAAATTTCCCCTACGAACTGTGACTTTTTACCGGACAAAGAAACATTTTTGAAAATTCAGACAATGAGTCCGACGAATCGTCTTCTTTCTCAAATGCTTTAATGAAACGTCAAAGCCATCAATATTTGAAGATCGACCATCATCGAGATCGAATTAGAACAACTTACAAATTTGGCGCGAAATTTATCACATGACATTACACTAAGAATTGTTCCTACGTCTCGTCTCGACGAGACGTAGGCTACGACCTGTATGCAACTTAGTTAAATGGGTACTAAGTACGGTACGCGTCTTAGTGGTCTTTGTGAAACTCCCGCTAAGATGCATCTTACACTAAGTCCTATAACGGGACTTAAGGCCGCTTAAGACGCATCTTAGCGCTTAGTGAGACAGGCCCCAGAGCACTTCTAGGATTTTTTTTAATTTGCGCGTCCCGGATGCACTTGCAAATATGGCGTCATCATCGCTTAATCGGCGTGTTTTAACGTAAAATGTTACACTTTCACAATGTTTATACATTTTTTTTTTAATTATAAGTAAAATATAACATTATTTTGTCTGATACCACTGAAGTTGTGGGTTTTATTCATTGAATAATGTTTAAATAAGAGTCATTTTACTGTTTTAATTTACCATTTAAGTGTCAAGGTAGAAAGATGCATTTTCCAACAGCGCCAAGTTTCATTTACGTACCGACATTCTGCTAAATGAGTTCGTGTTGTTTTTCAAGAATCCACTGCTTTCTGCTCCACTAAACGTCCATATATGCGGAGTCGGTCATAAACCAAATGTTTCAAAATTTATGGATGCTTCCTTCCCATGCAGGTGTTTGTGGTGTTGAAGCATTTCATTCACATTCTATTATTCTTTGTACTCCAATTGTCAGAACGTAAATTGCATTTTGGTTTTATAGTTTCATTCAATAAAGGGGCTTTCACACCGGGCCTTGCGTAGAGTTGCGTAAAGTTGCGTACCGACTACGCCCATCGTACACAACCCTACGCCAGCCTACGCAACTGTACGCGGAGGGACGCAAATGGGTACGCGAGATGTACGCCAAAAATTAAACATGTTTATTTTTTTCGCGTACCTTCGGCGTAGACACTTTACGCAGAAAGTACGAAATTTGTACGCAAGTCTACGCAAGTCTACGCAACACTACGCAACTGTACGCCAAGCCTACGCAACAATACGCTACCCTACGCCAGTCCGACAAAGCATTAAAAAACGTATAAAGACGTCCTAGATCCAACCTGCGCGCAGCCTAGCCACAATGACTGCTTGATCCCTGCTGGACTTTTCATTACTATTCCTGCAGTGCTACATTTTATTCGTCCCGCTGGACTCTATTGTCGCTGCTGAACTATATCTGCAGGATTTAATCATTTCTGCTTTTATTACTGCAAAACTACCAGAAAAGAAGGGCAAGGGTTGTGGTCGAGGCCACTTGTTTCCATCCCTCTGGAGTATCTGGGCACATGAGAACTTCGTCAGATAATTCATCGATTATTGTCCGGCACACGTGTGGGATAAACACAGAAATAGTGTTATGGGCAACTCGGAATCCATATTGAAGTGTCTTGTAGCTGTTGCCGGTGGCCAGAAACCTCAAGGTGACAGCCAGCTTTAAACCAGGTTCCAGAGACTTCCTGTAGTTAGTATCTCGTTTGGTAATCCTCGGTGCAATCCGTGTCAGAAGTTCATGGTAATCCTGCGGTCTCATCCGCATGAAATTGGTAAATGCAGAAACACCCTCAGCATGCAGTTCTTTCATCAGCTGTTCATATTGCCCCCTGCAGGGGCCTGCGCTGGGTCCAAGGTTTTGCCCACACACTTTTCTTCTTCTTCTTCTTCTTCTTCTTGCTTCTTTCCTTCTCTGTTCTTGTTCTTCTCCCAAGCGTTCATGTTCTGCCACATGACTAATTAGTCTTTCCAGGGCATCCCGATGCTGGAGTATTGTATCTTTTTGCCAAAGGGCCCAAACAACTCATAATCTTTTCCTGCCTGTGTTATTACAACAGTCTCATCTGTAATTCAAACAGCAGTGATGTGTTCTGGGCAGCAGGCAGCAATGGATTGAGGGCAGAAAACTAGGTTTATAAAGCGCCAATGGCTACACTCGCGGCTGCTACGAGCGTCTATTGCATTTTTAAATGGTACTTTCGCACACAGTAAGCAACTGTACGCAACCGTAAGCAACCCTACGCCAGGCCTACGCAAGCGTACGTAACCCTACGCCAATTGCCTATGCCATAGGTACGCGGTGCCTACGCACAGGGTACGTAAATATACGCCATCGCACGCAAGCCTACGCATAACCTACGCAGGGACTACGCCGAAGCATCAATTTATTCATGAGTACGCAGCTTAACTTCGGCGTAGGCGGTACGCAACACTACGCAACTCTACGCAGATCCGTTGTGAAAGGGGCTTAAGCAAGTCAATAAAATACTATGTTCTGCACAACAAAAATAATGTGTGTCCCTATTGTACATGTACTGTGCCTCTCCCATGCATTCACATAATGGTACTACCTGCCCGATGAAGCCAGTGGCCCGTGACCCCTGCGCACTCAACACTATGTGGGAGTCAGTTTGTGGTCAACTTATTTTATGAAACAAATCCAACCATAAATTATGCGGCCGTAGGTTTTTGACAAATACCAAGGCAGATGCAAGGTAACCGCAAGGTCACCGTACGCCCGACGTATGGTCGCCGTGGAACCGCTCTACGACAGACAATAATTTACGTCATTAAATTCTAGTAATCTCTAGTAAGTTCCCCTTTTTAGGTACGAGAAGCGCCCCTTTACACTTTTGATAAGCGCCCCCGTCATCTCTAATGATTGCCCTATTCAAATCTGACAGGTTCCCCTTTTGCTTTGACAAGTTCCCCTTTTTCTTTGTAAAATGTACCCTTCTCCTTTTAATAACTACTCCTTTTTAACTTGGATATAAAGCGCACCTTATATTTTCACATGTGCCCCCCTTTCCTTTTTAATAAGTGCCCCTTTTTCATATGATAAGTGCTCCCATTTTGCTGGTGCTCTCCCACTTTGGAAGTCGCTACGCCACCTCTGCTTAGGACCATTGGGGGTCCAGTGGGCAACGCTCAGTTTTTAAGGCATTTAATTGAGGTCAGATGAGCATCCAGGCGGCCGCCTTAGGGCTTTTGGTTGGGTCCAGGGGGCAGAGCACCCGGAAGCTCAGGAAAAAACCATGCCACTGGTATCGAATTAGAAAAATACCACGTTTGAATTTTATTTGGGGGGCAACTGCCCCCAAGCCCCCGACTCCCCCCCCCCCCCCCTATCAGAACTGTGATGAAGTGCAAATGTTTTTAAAATTGCTGATCAAATCCGCTACAGTTGTATTAACAAATCGCATTCCTTAACAAAACTATGGTATAAAAACAGGCAATATACTTCTTTCACGCTTCACTTTTCTACAATATTTACTTGGTCACTTTGAAGGATATTATGCGAGGGGGCGTAGATAAGAGCAAGAAGATTTTAGCATATTTATTTGTCTAAACGCTGCACTCTTGGGCCCTCCACAGCTTTAAGTGTGTTGCAGTCTTTAGTCAGTATTCGCTTTCATTTTATTTGTGCACTTTTTCAAATTTGCCATTGAGCGGGGACGTGTCTCCCCCGTTCCCCCGGGATCGCCGCCCCTGCCTCAAACCCTGAGCTGCCGGGGGCTCCGCACCCTGGACGCCCACCAGGGCTATGCTTCCGTACCCCCCACGCCAATTTGCGCTCTGTACGCTCTACCTGAACGTAAATACTTTAGCCCCCCCCCCCCCCCCCCCTTTGAAAAAAAAGTTCCTCGTGGCCTGCAAAGTAGGTCATTAATTGTGAAAGGGCCTACGGGGGGGATATTTATTATCGTTCGAACCTGCTTGTCTAATATTTGTACATACTACTTTCTTTGGAGCTGAATTCTTTTCATTAGATTCGTCTTGATCAAAGTACATTCGTGTGTGAATGGATCGCGTTAGAGATCGAGATAGAAACCACCAATTTTTCTAACATGATTGCGCTCTAATATCTTTTTCTTTCCAATTAAACACTGAAGATCAGGAAGTCGGACAACGAACCATTCGTCTGTGATCTAGGGTTGGGACATGGAGTCACTCATTCGAAGTATACATCATCGGGAAAGCGAAATGTAATACCGAAGTGGGCCCCTCCTGAGTCGTTCGGCCCAGGCTACGTGGCGACCTATGAAGGAGACGTATGGTCTCTGGCCTGCGTTCTTCTGGAACTGTTCACTGGGTATCGTCTTTGGCAAAACATCGTGGGTAACAAGCTTGGTCAGGTGCTCTCAATGAATGAAGTCCTGGCACGGTTTTTCCATGGCAATGTCACACCCAACATCCTCTCCCTTGTTGACATCGCAGCCGTCCGTAATGCTCTCCAAAGTTGCTTCACCAAAGAAAAAGAGAAGCGGCCATCTGCTAAGGACCTCACTGAGATTTTTGAAGGGGCCTTGTTGTCGGTCAACGAGTAGCCGATCTCACCAACGATAATCACCTTGGACTTGAAATTGTCCGATGAGAACAGCGCTGGACACATTCCCAAGATCGTAAAATAATCAGCCACATTTTGATCATGTGCTTTCCGCAATGACTTCTTTTGGGTGTGGGAATGACCCATTTGTTGGTGTTGCTGGTGGTGGTGGTGGTGGCGATGTCATTGTATTATTTTTGAATGTGTGGAGGTCTGTGTGTTTGAGTGTTGATAAAGTCTTTATACTAGTGAGTAATCCTGAATTACGGTAATTTCAAGTTTACTTGATTTACTTACTAGGATTTCATGTACAATAAAGTATACGTTGCTCTCTGATGAACTTCTTTTTTTTTTTACATATAATTATTGTGATTTAAGTAAGAAAATTGTTAAAGATTTGCGCTGTAGAATAATGCGCTATTATACCCAAAACAATTCTGACTGCTCATAACAGCACTCAAACGTCATAATCTAAAACTTTAACTCTGTTAGCTGAAATTGTGTGTACAGTTGTATGTTCAACACCATTATATCGAATTGTATTATTCATTCTTCTATTCTATTCTTAAGATGTTTTAAGTAGTGTCATACTATCTGAGCAAATCCAGTGTTGATCACCTTTATATCTTTGATTCATATTATAAGCTTTAGAATCGTACGTCTTTGTGTATTCTTTGTTTCAGTCGCCATTTCCCCCATTTGTATTTCTTTTCCTCATTTGGGGATTGAATGACCTTATATATCATTGTTATTGCGATACATGGAGATGTTTATCGATTGATTTATATGATTGTTTCCTCTGTTATAACTATTACCATGTACATTATGTTTTCTATATTTTATGTTTAGTTATAATAGTTACCATGTTCATCAATCATTATGTTCAATTATGTTATCTTTGATAAAGTGAAATAAATAAACTTAAAACTTGAAACAATAATGAGCCTTTCTATTGTGCTTCCAAAGTTTCTTATACCTGAAATGAATTTCCTTGTAAATGTTATATAGTACTTGAACTATCAATCTTGTAACTTTATAATTCTTGGGATCCTTTATATGGAAATGTTTATACCTGAAATTAAGTCCTTTGTAAATGTGTTATAGTACTTGAAATATCAATCTTATAACTTGATAATTATTTGGACGATCGACCTGTCAGGCTTAAGTAGGCTTTTAGTGATGGTCCCTTTTGTTCTTCTTACTTTATATGAATTCAGTTAGTATACGCTGTATTTTACCTTGATATGCTTTGTATGTATTGTAGTGTTTGCATTTTCTTTTTAACTGAAGAACGAATAAAGAATGTAACAAACTTGAAACGTAATCAGTCAAATAATAATTATTACCCCTTTACTTCATCTTTGTTCTATCATTGATTGAACTCTTAGGAGGTGAAACTCTTCATCTAATTATCTCCTATCTTGCACCTTAATAATGTCTCTTTTTTTTTGGTAATATTGACTTGATTAGACATCCTTTGTTTTCTGACTCTATGTTAATCTCCATTTTACTTTTTTACCTTACATTTTACATTTTACACTTAAATAAATCATCTTATTTACTGACACCAATATATAAATATATATATATTCATGAATTACATAATGGTTTAAATGATTACATAGCATTGCATTAATCAGTTACGAAGTATGTTTTCTTGCTTCTTTAGTCGTAAAGCTGTATTTTATTACATCAGTCTTCATAATAAACCAATTAAGATTTGTGATTAGAAAGTGCACTTATTTCATTTGTATGCTATACACTTATATTTCTCTCTTCAATTATATAATATGTATATACATTGTATATGATACTTTACCCAACTACACGAATTTGTAGTTAAATACCTATTATACCATCAAACGTTCTTCCAGTATTGTACGTTTATGTTTGATTGTCATGATTGTATATATTTTGAAGATTTTAATCTGCAAATCTGTTAATCTGATAATGATATATGCAAGTACGCCTATGGCCGCGATAAAATGTTATGAAAATATAAACTTCAACTCATTTTATTTCACTCATTACGACGTGAGGTATTTACTGTACAAAATTCACGGCATAGTTTATAAAGAAATAACAACTGTTACAACAACAAAGAAAGTTAAGCAAAAAACACAAAACATTGCCGCTATTATGATATCCATTTCCATGGATGGACATTGCTTAACCTGTTTTTAGGTTTTTCTATTTGTATATGATTGGATGTTGCCAATATGTCTCTATTAAAGGTACTATGTCCCATTTGCAGGCCCAAAAAATGAAAAAGTTAAATTCCAACTGCATTTGAAAGATAATATTTATTTAGAACTTCCCTAAAAAAGGTGGGGCTTGAAAATGCCTTTAAGTGGGAAAATAATGACTATTAGTTGTCAAATCGACTTTAGGGCTATAGAGCCCAAAAGTAATAGTCTTGATTTTCAGACAATTGTACTGAATGGTCATACGTTTTATGCTGCGCAAAGATTCAATCAGTTTAATCTTGGCCATCACAAGAAGTGGTTTATTGATGTAGACAAATGCTCATGTACCCTTTACAACTCTTTTCATGTATGTTATTACCAAAGAAGAAAAAAGCCAGTCAGTCACTCAATGGTGTCTGACAGTGAAGTCTAGCAAGTAAACGGGTTTCCTTGCATAATTTGAATATGAGGACACTGCTAACGTTTAAATTTCACAGATAGGACATACATGACATATTCATAATTCCTGCAAAGTTCTACAGAATTTGAGGTTGGCTGCAAAAGGGACATAGTACCTTTAAAGATGATATACTACGAGGTTAGTTTACCTTAGGTTTTTGTGTTAATGACGTTACTCTTAATTCCTAACGACCTTTTTTCTAACAAGAATTGCTGTTTATTTCAGAGCTTGCCACGAAATGTCATTTTGCACCAGTGTGTTCTCTTTGGAACATTTGAAAATTGTACGTCTTACCAAACTGATCATAATTTTGTCGTTTTTAGTTAAGATCCATGTGAAATTATCAGAAATATTAGAAAATACTGCTACAACATATTACTTTAATATGGAAGATTGAGTACTTTTTAAGATGTTGCCAATCATTTGAGACACAACGTATATAATTGAGTAGTACATGTGTACATTTTAAAGCCTAAGCCACACTATAGAATTTACGACCGGTCGCCCTATTCTGAGAACTACTGCTCGGCAGTCAGTTGTCAGAGATTGCAGAGAGGTATTTGGCAAACTTTAAAAGGTTGACAGTGGTCAGCGATTGGCCTCCGGAGCATTTTGGTCGGCTGGAGGTTGACGCTGCTGCATCGAAAACCTTTTGCCGACCAAAGTGGTTGTGGAAAGGTTTTTCTTGGTCTTCCAAGGGTTGGCTACAGTTCTCAGACTGATTGCCGACTGATCACCAGTGCTTGTAAATAATTTGTCCATGTGATTAACCTCTTTAAATGTGACGAGTTTTATTCATCGGTAATATATTTGTATGTCACCAATTTTGTCAAGACATTAAAGATACTATGTCCCTTTTGCAGCCAACCTCAAATTCGGTAGAACTTTGCAGGAAATATGAATATGTCATGTATGTCCTATCTGTGAAATTTAAACGTTAGCAGTGTCCTAATATTCAAATTATGCAAGGAAACCCGTTTACTTGCTAGACTTCACTGTCAGACACCATTGGTATGGTAATAACACATGGTAATAACATACATAAAATGAGCTGTAAAGGATTTGTCTACATCAATAACCCACTTCTTGTAATGGCCAAAATTAAACTGATTGAATCATTGTGCAGCATAAAACGTACGACCATACGGTACAATGGTGTGAAAATCAAGACTATTACTTATTGGCTCTATAGCTCCTAAGTCGATTTGACAACTAATAGTCGTTATTTTCCCACTTAAAGCCATTTTCACGCCCCATTTTTTAAAGGAGAGTTCTAAATTAGTATTATCTTTCAAATGCCATTGGAATTTAAGTTTTCACTTTTTGGGCCTGCAAAAGGGACATAGTACCTTTAACATAGAAAATTTTCCCACTTAAAGCCATTTTCACGCCCCATTTTTTAAAGGAGAGTTCTAAATTAGTATTATCTTTCAAATGCCATTGGAATTTAACTTTTCACTTTTTGGGCCTGCAAAAGGGACATAGTACCTTTAACATAGAAAAGATGTTGTGTTGTACGAAGAAATAGAGCGTTTGGTTTCTAGTAATAGGTTAACGCATAAACATCATACTTATTTTATGACCTAGATTGCCTGATTTTGATTAATGTTTATGACAATCTGTAGACATTTCGTTATCTAAATACTTTTGTATATTTTCTAAAATGTCAAATTTGAAGAAGAAAAAAAGATAATGTAACTTGAATTATATAGATTGAATCGAATCTACTGAACAATAAATACATGAAAGAAAACCATTACGTTTCTTTTCTTCAACATTAATAGGAGTGTTTGTAAATGCAAGATTGGATTAGATGTTAAAAAAGCGTATGGCAATGTTGTGAATATAGTTGGGCATGTGCCTTGTAAAAAAGAAAGGCGAAAATTGGAAGGGATATGAGAGAGCCTGAAAGAGAGAGAGAAAAATAAAAAGAGAGAGAAAAAAAATAAAGAGAGAGAGAGAGGGGTAATAGAAAAAGAGAGAGAGAGAGAGAAAAAAAAAGAGAGAGAGAACAAAAATAAAGAGAGAGAGAAATATGAGGAGAGGGAAAGAAAAAAAGGGAAACTTGAACAGAAGAATGGGTGAGCATATCTCGATTCGCCCCTCGACGAACTTCATTTTTTTTTTTATTAAATTTTTTTTTTTGTTGATAATCTCGGGGATAATCTATTCATGAAAATGTTTTCCAACTGCCCTCCATCGTGACACGCATGTATGCAAATATCAGACTTGAATATGATGGACTAAAAATATGAAAAAAGAAGAGAATCTAATAACGTATGCCATCACCCATTTATGACGTCGACGTACCGTATTAAGTTCACGCATTGCAGGAGGGGTAATCGATGTGGGGGG